AAGCCAAGTCATTACCAGTTGTGCTGTGCAGTCAGTGGTTTGCTGTGTCTATCTGCCTAACCTGAAAACATACGCAATTTTTTTATTATTATTATTTTTAATTTGCTTTTATAATCTGTTTGTGAGGACACTTATACTGTGTTGTTAAAGGTTGCTGCATAATTATTTTGCTTCAGAGAAGACAGTCCTTCAAAGCTGTGCTTCAGTACCATATCCTGTTGTATTGGAGGTGTTCAGCTTTTGGTTTAGTGATTCTTTTTGGTTATGAGCTTCATATCAGGTAGGATATTGAAGTGATTCTAGCAGGCCCTTGTTCCTTAGTATTCACACTCTGGTCTGCCAGGAAGAACATCCGAGGAGTCAGAAAAGTATGTCATGCTAATTCTTTCTGTCTTTCCCTCACTGTTCTTGAGCTTGGATTCAAATTAAAACATAAACATCCATATCCTGAAGTACCCTAAAACTTCAGGATAGGTTTCACTTCATAAAATTATATTCTTTGTGAAGTTCAAAATCATTTTTATTTGACATTGTCCAGACACTTACCAGGTACTCATGCATGCCATCTAGTTTTCTGGCCCCTTTACTTAGTCACAGATGTCATGATCTGTTGTGCTTTGGGAAACCTTATCTGTGTAGGTTAAAGGAAGAAGCAGGAGCCTTACCACTGAAATATGTAACATTTGGGCACTATTACATAGCGGTTGCCCAAACCCAAATAGAAGATGTTTCTAGGAAGCTGTCTGAAACTAGCTAACACCAGTTGTTCCAGAGGAACATGGAAGCTTGCATTACTCAGTTTTGTTTTAACTTGACTGTGACTGAAGTTTAAGGACAATATTCTTTAATTTCCCTGCTGATGCTGTACTAATGCTTCAAATGGTATGAATCAAGTATTTTGGTTGTGTTGGCAGGAAACAGAACGTCTAGATGTGGTTGTCATAATGAAAGTGTAGGTCAGTATGGTTTCTTCATTTCAGCTGCTGAAACAAATTCTCCTGTGTATTCAGATCAAAAATTTATTAAAATAATTCTGCCAGTCAGCAGAAGCAATCTGTTTTTCTGTTGTAGAGTAGGAGTTTCGCATTCTGAAAGCTGATGTCCTAATTTTTATTGTCTTGCATACTGTGGCCTTAGATTGAAAGGTTAATCATGACCACAAATTCCCACTGATTTTAATAAAACCATGTTGATATCAGAGTTACTGTGCAGCATGGCTAAATGGAGTCTTGAATACAGACTCTAAAACATCATGGACATTGCACATTGCTTTAGGTTTTGTATAATGGCATTGAACATTGGGATAACTGAAATCAGGAAGTAGGTAATAAAATATTATCAGTAGTTATTATTCATAAATGATGAGAGAATTTTGCATGGCAAAAATGAATGTTTTACATGCTATTTTTTCTTTAACACTTTCTCCCCCTTTTTCACACTCATTCAAGCTACATCTGACAAGTCAGCTGGGAACTGCTTAGAACTATGTAATATTTCTGTGGGGAAGACTGAATAGGTAATCATACCAGGTTAGCCTGCTGAAATTAGCAATTCTGCAGCTTTTGAAAAATTAACCATGTAATTTGAGCTGAAAAATGCATTCAGGATTGGAATTTCTAGCAACAACAGTGGATTACCTTCAGAATTCACACATTTGTACAGTAAATGGTTCATGGGGAAATACACTGGTAGTATTTTATTCCAGATAAAAGGTAATTTGAACATCAAGAGAGACCAGCAGATTTATAACCACTTTTTAAGTAGTAACAGCCTTTTCAGTATTTTTTTACATACTGTTTCATCTGAGATGAGTTCAAGAAGGATATCAAACATTCTGACTTAAGTATCACACATACTACTAGTATTTTTTAGAACTTTTACCTAGTTCTAAGAATCTAGAAGAATCATATTTTAATTTTTGCCTCCAGTATTTAATTTTGATCTGTATAATTTCTAACTTTGTCATAGGCCTCTCTGCTTGCTTCTCATTACATTAAGAGGGTATGGTGTGGTTAGGAATCTCCCCAAGTGCAGAGATGCCACCTTTAAGACATTGAGCGTGTTTGCATATACATGCAAAACTGATCATATTTACTGCTAGGTTATTGCAGTGACATCTAAGTAATTGTACTACAGGTAAGAATTTGCAAAGGAGGGTATCTCTTGTGTTATTTCCTGCTTTACAGCTTCTGGAGTGTCTTTTTAAAATAGATTTGCATGTACTTAATCAGGTTATTAAAATTATTTTAATTTGAAATGCAGATTTGTTTTTAAAATTTTTTATGTGTTTTTTTTACAATGTTGAAACTAACATTGAACAAAGAATGATTGATCAATGTTAACTTTCATAGTTTTGCATCACCAAACAGTGGTCCAAGTTGCTGTGTTTCTCTAAACAATAGCTACGTATCATAAAAGTTCTAAGAACTATTTATGCATCTGTTTTGAGTGATCAATTATATATAATTTTGCATTTGAGTTCTATAAGGCACTTCAGTAGCAGAGTATAGTAGTCAGCTTGTTATAAGAATTGTCAGCTCTATGATGTATTTCATAATGAAAATAAGTAATTGATCTTGATCACTAAAAGTGATCAAGATTGTAAATAAAATGTAGAAAAATCCAAAGGCAGAAAATTTAAAAGTAGTTACTGCTTAGCATTGGCATGTGTTCCCTTCGTAAATAGCTTGTGCAGTATTTCTGTGTATTTTATTTCCCAATTAACTCCTGTTGTCTACAAAACACAGATAACTTGAGTTTATGACTTCTGACTCACAGCTAACAATGAGAATTAGTTATCTCGGTGTTTTCCACATGCCAACAATGTTTTTGTGCTCCACAAATCGTGTGTTTGGGAATCTTGGTGGAATGAAACACTCTGTGGAATTTGGTATATGTTTAAATAGCTTTTGTTTAAGGTTGTCACTTGTGCAGTAGTTAAGTCCTGTATCTCCATAATAATTTTCACAATTCCGAATTTGTTATCTGCAAGCTGAGTAAGTTACAGCAAGGAGACAAGACTTGTTGAAAATTAGCTAGCAAGCTAATGAGAAGACAGAAAGAGGTCACACCCCTTTCCTAAATCCCACCTGTGGGGTATTAATATTTAGATTGAGAGCCTTACTTCAGTGCTATGTGAAGAAAACTGAAAGAAAGTAATTTCTTTCACTAGAAAATCCTCTCTGTCCTAATAAGGCTAAATTGCTAAATGCTTTTACCCTATTCTTACTGTGAATAGAACAGAGATACTGGTCATTCTGTGTGATATTTATGTTTGGTCAGTAAGAGAAATTTGTGTCATTGTCGCAGTGTCTTGCAGTTAAGTGTATTTTATACCTATTCTGAACCATCCTTGCTCTTTCCAACACGTTTTTTCTTTAATTTCCTGTCAGCCTTCTCTTCCATTTCCCTGTCTTTCTTTCCAGGCCACTAATGAAAGTCCGTCATAGCACAGACCTAGACCAGTAGCTTGACGTGTAGATCAGGTATCCTATCCATGCTGTTCATATTCTGTCCATACAGCCTCCTCTGTCTTCTAACCATTCAGCGTGTTATGTACTGCAATGGTGTAGGAGCTACCTTTTAGAGAGGTTTTTAAAGTTATTTATTTATTTAGGTCCAAGCTTCTAATACAAGAGGCAGGGAGAGACACATTTCAGAGGCAGAGCAACACCTCAATAGAGCTTGAATAAGAAGCTTCCAGAATTAAAAAAAAAAAAAAAAAAAAATCCATGCCTTAGTTCCTCATTTCTTACATCGTTCTTCTTGCTGAATTCTTCCTGCTCCTGACACTAGCTCTTGCAGAAATGAATGCAAGCAGTGACTTAAGTAGGCACATAACTGATAGCTGTGGTTTGTAGCCTAACAGAGTTGGGGAAAGAGAAATAATTTGAACTTTCTAAGAGCTTTTTGGAAAGCTCACTTTAGGGTAACCTACTCAAATATTCATGCATTTTAGTCACAAAAGAATCAGTATCTTTGGGGAAAATATAATTTTTAAAACATCTCTTTGGGCAAGTGGAATTATCCATGCAGTCAAATTTGAAGTTTTTTGCAATAATAAAACGTCTTCATAATTTTACTGCATTGGGGAACACACATTGATTGGCTTTGCTTTCTTAACTGCTTTAAGAACAGATCTAGATATTTTTAAACTTCTGGCATACATATCTGAAGCTATATGTTTGTAGTTAAAACTTTATTGAATCATACTAGTTTGTTCTAATCTGGTATTGCTTCCAAGTTGTAGCAGCTGGGAAGCATACAAGCAGTTGTGATACTATTCCCAACCAAGATGCAGCAATATTAATTTGACCACTAGTTTAATCACTCACTGCTCAGAAAATTAGAAATCCAATGGTTGCCAGGTGAGAGGTACAGGGCTTCTGTTTTCAAAAAGTTACTAATCTGCTGTCATCAATATTTAGAATATATTGCACATTAAAAGTATTCTGCTACACATTAATTGTAGGAAATGGTTAAGTTCATGGGGAAACAAAATAACATACAGGAATCCAAAATATTACTCAAGTGCATTATCTTAAGTCCCACTGTTGACATAAGGGTTCTTATATACAGTTAGGTATAAATTTATTCTCAGAGTTAATCAGTCAGTATTTTGGAGGTAATGAGATAAAGTAGGAAAGGAATCTTTATTTTGTTTGTTGTCTCAAAAATGTGTTGGCAGAAGTTCAGTGTGTACCAAAAATATGTAGAAAACTGAGTCCTGAATTTTTTTAAAAAATTATATTGTTCCTTGTCAGTTTTGGTTAGGATTGAGTTTTATTTACATAGGTGTATTAACAGCAACCAAGTAGTTAGAAATATTACATATTACAGATGTTAGTTATATTCTGACTTTATGAAAAGTAGCCTTTTCTTTAAGAGTATGTGCTTTGTGCTTTGTTACAATTTGTATTTTTGGAGCAAAAGTACTTTTTAAAGACAAAATTAGTACATTACTAGCATATTCAAAGCTATAAAAATTTTATCTCTTTTAGAAAATTGAAAATGGAAGATTTGCAAAACTCAGATATATTGCACATGCTATGGTCAACAGTACAGATCTGTTAATGGTAACAAAAAGGTAAATAGTTTCAACTCCAAATAATATGTACTTAGAACAGTTGTTAAAATGTGCATGCCGTGATGATTGCTGATCAGTACCTGCAGTGTCATCATATATGTAGACAAAATAATGGGGTAGGTGTCCTAATATGCTGATAATTATCTTCAACAGTGTCATTTTCAGCAGGATAGTGTTCAATATTATTTCTCTCCTATTTTAGAAGGGAAAAAAATATTGATTTTAAGATTTCTTTAGCTGAGAAGGATTTGTTACAAGCTGGGTTAGACTAAAATCACCTGAACTGTGGGATTCACTTGAGATGGTGTATGGAAGAAGGGATAATACAAAAACAGTCGATGTCTAGCTGTGGAGTAGGATCTCAAATACAGCTTGAAGTAGTGCTATGAAACACAGTATTTTACATGTTAGGGGGAGTTTCAAATTTCACTCTTTTGGAAAGTGTGCTGTATAATTACAGATCATAAGATTAAACCTTTTTTGCAATGGCAAATTAATTCACTAGAGCAAGGGTAACATGGTAACCTTTAAGTATTTTTACATTAATTTTTAAAACTACTTTTATTTTCTGGTGCCTAGCGGTGTGTTATTTGTGACAAAAGGGGCATTTGGACAGCTGACATGTGAATGGCAGTACACTTACGATGAGTTCACCAAAGAACCATTCATCATCGATGGTCGAAGATTGCGCATAGAAGCCAAGGTACATTGCTTTTACTGTGTATTGTTGTTACTGTTTTTGTGTTACTATTTATGAAATTGAACTTTGAATTTCTGCTCACTCTTCTCTGAATTCTTGATCTCCTTTGTATTTGAGATACACTCAGAGAAAGGAGTTGAAGCTTGGCATGAGTGAACTCCTCAAATAACTAGTCTCGGACTAGTTACAAGCAGCATGGAGACTTAGTCTTTGCAGATGAGATTATTCCTTGCACTGTAGGAATTTTTTGTTTGTATGCACCAGTTCAGTGTTTGTTCATAGTCTGGAAGATGCCAATATGATAAGAGGATCAGAAGATTGCAGAATATTTTTATTATGCTCTCTGGGGCACATAATAAGGTTTTATTGTCTTTAAAAATAACTGTAATGACATATATTTTTCCCCTCTCAATACAAATTGAAGAATTTTGCTCTTAGTTGCAATTTTTCCTTAAAAAAATCCTTAAAATGCCTTAAAAACCCTGGTAAGCTGGCAGAGGACATAAGGAGAAAGATGACCACCAATGACTATTTACAGACCAGTTTTTTGAATTAGAAAATTAATTCTTACTGGTATATTAGCTGTACTTTATTGAACTTTGATTCAGTAAATTTGTCTGCCAGTGTGTTGTTTCTGTTTTTAGTAAGCTTCATGTGTGTAATTACACATATTGGTTGTCAGGACGGTCTTGATGGTGCACAACATCATTCAGTTTTTCACTCAGATTATTTGTTTCTATTGCAGAGAGCATGAAAGGCAGAGCCATATTGGTTTGGAATCCTCCAAACTGGATTTCTGACAGCAAGTGAACTTTTACAGGATGAAATAATTCTTAGCGTTTCTGCCATTTCAGACAATGCTGAATAACATATCCATCTTTACCTCTACACAGCAGTCATTTCAGAATCCATTTACATGTCTGCAGTATGCTCTTTATTGAAAACTATGGTTGGAAACTATATTTTGCAAATAACTCCTTACATTTTTCTTTCTGAAGCCTAAGTTGCTGTTTTCACTACCTGGAAGTAGTCCACTACTTGCAAGTCAGTATTGGTGGAATGTCCACTCAAGTAATGACTTGAAGGAGAATTGCAAATTAAAACCTTGGGGAGTAATGGATTTTGTTACCACATGTCCATTATCTGCCTTCCATTCTACACACATTTATAGACCCTTATCCAGGGACTCCATGGTAAAAAGGGGAGTCTGTTACTGCTGGAGTGTTCACTCTACTGTGCTTTCCTGCAGAAAATGGTCTCTCTCAGGGTATGTGCATGTGATGCAAACATACTCAGATGACTGTTCTTGGTACACGTGGCTGTTTGAACCATTATAGCTGCCTTGATAGTAAATAGCATCGTAGTCTTAAAGCCTGAAGTAACTAAGTTCAATTTTGAGTTACTGTTTTGGTTTTGTTTTTTTTTTTTTTTTAGGAACGAGTTAAATCTGTCTTCCATGCCAAAGAATTTGGAAAAATTATAAATTTTAGAAGTCCAGAGGATGCTAAGGTAAAGTCAAAATACAATTAAAATTATAGTGGAAAATTTGAATTAAAAAGTCACAATTTTAACAGAAATAATCTTAACCTGAAACTACGTACATTTAAAATTCAGTATTTCCATATATCTGTTACACACATGAAAGAAGCAATAATTTACTCAGTATTGAATTCTAAAAAACTCAATTCCAACATCAGACTTTTCTCCACATAAATCTTTTGAATTACAGTAGTCTGACAAAAGATTGATTAAACAGGAATACTAACCAAAACTAAACAATCTAGAATGTGAATTAAAATAGCACATTTTAATAGAACAAAAGTATTTGCACACTACTTCTTGTTCCAGGTGGTGGGCAGGGGTGGGATGTTACTGCTCTGCTCTTCAAAATACAGGTTTTTTTGAAGAATGAAGACTATCCTTAATAAAAATTCCAGTAGTTTAATTGATAAATGATATTGCTGCTATTTTTTTATACATTTTCTCTGTAACATCTTCGTTTTGACATCACTAGTTTTGACTGTAACAGATGGTAGGAACAGTTCAGATCTGCTACCAGAACTATAAGGTCAAAGTTTGTCCTTGTTTTTAACTAGTATAGCTGGTAATTTTCACAGAAAATGAATGAGTCTTGTATATATTTTAGTGGGGTGTAGTTCCCTGGGGTCGTGGTTTCAGACAGCTTGCAAAAGTTGCATTCTCTCATTAGTTTAAGTTGCTTCTGCATCTTCTTACCAGTTTAGGTTGCATTTGTCTTTGTGAGGCTAGTTTCTAGCTACATGTAAGTGATAGCAGTTAACTCTTACCTCTGAAAGATAAGAGTCCTATGCTAAATTTGACTTGCCTGTAATCTTTGAAGGTACTGAGCTTTTATTTTTTTTCATTTTGACTGTGGTGGAGCAAGGGTGGGCACTGCTGAGATCCATTAGTCTCTCGGGGAAAGGAATCCCATCTATACCCCAGCTAAATCAGGAACAATTCCAAAAGTGAAATTAGTACATCATGTTACATATGCCACAAGTTTTAAGTAAGGAAAAGAAAGGTGAAAAATTTGAGTACATCTTCCACAAAAATACTGGGGTGTGTATTTTCCTAGAGGAGCACAGGAACCTCACAAATTTTTTTTCTTTAATACTCTTGGGAAACTAATTTCCCCTTTATGTAATGTAAACAGTCCAATATGAAATTCCTTAAAAGAAACAAGATATAGTTAAATAACGCTTTTTTTCTAAATAACCTATCACACTGCTGCTGTTACTGTCTTCTGACTTCTGTTGTGATCCTTGCTTCTCTGTTGTTGTCTCTGATTTGTCTAGAGTTGTAGATGAAAGCAGAGCCAGGATGGGGATTAAATGTTATCTTCTTTTTTTTTTCAAATCTTATTCCTTGAAGTACAGAGCAGGAAACAAGTTTAATTAGACATGGTATCAAATGTCAAATATTGGTGCTTAAATGGCTCCACTTTTGTTAGAAAGCCAGGGGTTTATACTCACAAAATAATTTTTAACACTGTCTTAAAACTCAGTTAGGAAGAGAGCAGGTAGTAAAGGCAGTGACAAAAACCATTCTAGTTTTCAGCTGCTTTGTCTGTTTTGTACCACAGAAAGCTTTTTATTTTCACTTTTTTCTTCACACAGTGGATCCTTTCTAAACTAGAAGAAGTACGAGAGAATCAGCCAAAATTGTAATGAATGGAGAAGCACCAAGATATGAAGAACACTGAACAGCTTCCTTTTAATTCTTCTTTCACAAGCAGAACTGTTTGAATATCATCAACAAAAGCAAAAACAGGAGGGAGGGAAGATTTATCCAATTATTTATTATGGTCACAGCAGTCTATATCAGAAAAACAGATGATGTTAACTTAAAAAAATACGTAATGATAAAAATTGTCTGCCAAGTTTTGTCTTGGTTTGCTTGATTTTTTAATGTAAGTATTTCAGGTTTCATTTTTTATATAAGCAGTATAAAGTGAGTTTGTCTTAACCTTTGATACTGAAATTGAACTCTGGAATAATTCTTATGATACTATTTGGAGCAAACCTTGCAATTTTGATTTAATTGTGAAAATCAGTACTTCATGTTTTGGTTTTAATATGACTTGAGGCTGTGTTGAAATACAAATTTCTTTGTCAAAGGAAATGTTAACTTAATCACTAGTGATGTAACTCAGAATATAAGAAGGAGGCTACTGATTAGAGAATTTGAATTTAGGTCACGAGGGGCTGCTTAGTTGACTATACTAGGGCTTTTTGTAAATGAATGGACCAGGTCACATTAACAGTACACTATTGCTTTTAGTGTGAACTTTTTTACAACCTACTCAAGGAAATATTGCAGCACCTCTGTCAATTATTGCAGAAAATTTAACAGTTTACAAAAATGCGTATTGGGGACAATTAACTCTGCACTAAACACATGAATAAAAGCCTATTATTTTAAATAGAAGTTAGAAACAGTCTTGCAACTCAAGAAGGAGTTTATGGGGTTATAAGTGCACTGTTGCATACCAAATATAAATGCCTTGAATTACACAATATTGTGTGCTAAGCAAGTGACTAGTGAAGTCAAATTTATATTAAATAATAAATATTATATGTCACAGTTGCTTTTATTAACTTTTCTTACCCAATGAAACTTCGTTTCATATCCAGACAGCAGTATTTTATTAGCTTGAATGTCTGCAATTCTGTTTATTTCTTAGATGTAGTAGTCATAGTATTGTTGAATGGCCATTTACTGCAGTTGATACAAAAAGTACATGAAACAATAGTGTTACATGAAGATTTCTATAAATTCCCATATCAAAGTCTTCAAAGTATCTTGTACATATAGAAAGCACCTCCTGCCAAAATATTATTTCCAAAAAATAGTTTGGAATATTTATAGCTACAGGATAGAATTCTAACTTTGCTGGTGATGCTTGAAGTATCCAGACTGTTCCGTTATTGTAAATCTTAAACAACTAGCGTGTAACCTATAGTTGCAGATATTTAATTTACTGTAAGTCTTGCCATTGGTGTTTAACCATTTAGCAGATTACTAAATACCGGTAATCTTGCAATTTTCCCCATAAATTGCAAATGGAATAAAAATATTATAAGGGGATTAAAGACTATTACAATGATGGTGTTACTCCAATCATTTTGTACACCAAGTACATACCAAGAGTATTAACTCAGGTTATATCATGCCAAACTTCCATACTTTGCCTTAGATAAGTCGTGGTTTTAGGTGTACCATTCTTTATCTATTTGTTTTTCATCTGTCATTTCTGTCTTGGGCATGATAGTTCATTTAAAAGCCTTATAATGTTATTGATAAGTAGGTGGTCTCCTCTGCATCCCCAGCACTTACTGCAAATTTCACTTACAATACATCTTGTTTGTTCTTGTACATTCCCATTTGTGTGTAGCTTTTCCATTTATCAGATTCTAAATATTTTCTCTCCACAGAGCCTCTATTTTAGTTATTTCTTACATTTATTTTGCCAACAAACTCGAATTCTCAAATCTTAGCTGGCTCTTTGGTAGTATTTAAGCAATTTAACTCCTAATGTGGAAAAATTTACTTTAAATGTGCATATTTGTGGTTAAGCAGTTCATGTTTTGGAAAAGATATAAATTCCCCCAGACTGGCATTTTTCTTACAGACTATAAAATTATTTTGATTTTCTATCTAAAAGCCTTAAGACAGAGTCTGAAATGTCCAGAAGTCAATGTGGGACTTCTTTTCTACGTCCCTTGATTTCCACTTGTAATGAAAATATGATTTTCAATAGATCCCTTTTCTAGTCCATAATTTGTGTCTTTTGAATTAGTTGGGTTTTTTTATAAAGCTTTTCCATACTGTCATGAAAGAATTTTGTCATTTCTTGACAAACACCAGTTGTCTTCTTTACCTATATATCACCCCAGGGTGAAAAGTAATGTATTTAGAGACTTGTGCCATCATGAAATTTTCTGGATTACTGCCGGTTGTATGAGATGTCTTCTCTGCTGTGCCTCATTTCTTATTGCAATATGCATATTTTTTTCAACAAGAAGGCTGAATAGGTACGTTAGCTTTTATTGAAAGGGTATATGCAACTAGAAAAGGGGATGTCGATAAAAATTAAAATGTAGGCATTTAGTTCTGCCCACTGTGGTGTTTAAAAGTGTATCTTGGCCTTTACTGAAATGCCACTTTCAGTAAAGAAAGAACCACTCCTCTTCAATATGACTGTTATGTAAAATTAATACATTTGAGAAATGTCATGTGTGTTCTCAGTTTGATAAGGGTTACAATTACCTCTAAGAAATTGCTGAAACATTTGTAAGTCTGATTGTTGCACTTCCTTTTCGTTCAGCTGCATGGCTTTCATGGCATGGCTCTATTGGTTTCCACCCCAACTTACCCCACCCTTCTTAATCTTGAATAAAGATAAACTGAATTTTATTTGACTGAAATGTGATTATTACTTTCTTTATGTACTGCTTTAATTAACAAATAATACCATTACTCAGAATTTCATAGATAAAGTCAAATCCTGTCTCTGAGTACACATGGTCAAACTTCCGTTGTAGCCATCTCAGGAAAACAGAATTACAGATTTTAGAACTTAACATTTGGTTTACTGTTCTAAGACAAGTTTTTAGTAACTGGATTAACACATGTAAGTTCCTTTTAAAATTGCTTTTTTGGGGGTGCGGAGGTTTTTTTGGCTTTTTTTTTTTCTTCTGTAGCTGTATTGAAAAAGACATAATGATGTTGCCAGATGATAGAATCATAGAATGGTTTGGGTTGAAAGGGACCTTATAGATGACCCAGTTCCAATTCCCCTGCTGTGAGCAGGGACACTTTCCACTAGACCAGGTTGCTCAGTGGCCCATCTAACCTGGCCTTGAACAGTTCATGGCTGAGGCATGGACAATTTACCAGGGCAATCTGATTGCAGTGGTTCACCATCCTCACAGGAAAGAACTCCTTCCTGACACCTTAATTTAAACCTACTCAGTCTGAAGCTGTTCCCTTCCTGTCCTGTATTGTCAAAAGTTCCACCCCAGCTTTCTTGTAGTCCCCTGTAGGTACACAAGGCTGCTATGTCTCCCTGCCCTTCCCTGCCCTTCCCTGCCCTTCCCTGCCCTGCCCTGCCCTGCCCTGCCCTGCCCTGCCCTGCCCTGCCCTGCCCTGCCCTGCCCTCTCCTTCCCTCTCGATCAGACTTAGGTCTTCATAAAAGAGCTACTCCAGCCCTCAGACCATCTTTCTAGCCTTCCTCTGGACCATCTGCAACAGGTCAGGTATTGAGAGCCACAGAGCTGGTGCAGCACTCCAGGTACAGTCCCATGAAGCCAGAATAGAGGGGCAGAGTCCCCTCCTCCCCTGCTAGCTGCACTGCTTGGGATGCAGCCTAGGATGCATTTGGCTGGGTCATCTCCAGCTTCTCATTCACATTCCAAGTCCTATTCAGGGGTGCTCTCAATGCATTCTCTACTGAGCCTGTACTTGGGCTTAGAATGACCCAAGAAGATGGAACCTTCTTTTGAATTTTTTTCTCATTGTATAGATTCTGTATGTATGCCGTTAGCTATTTCTTATCTTTAGCATTTTACAAAACTATTCTTGGGACTTGGACTTGGAAATTTTCTGCCTAGTATATGCAAGTACATCTATGCATCATCTGGGAGACAGAGGTTTAACTAATCTGTGCAACTATGATCTTGGTCACAATTTTTGCTTTTGTGACTGCAACAATCTAAAGTTAACTGACCACACCCACAGGATTTTATAATTTGGATTTGATTGTCTTCATGGCAAATCTGGAACAAGAATTCTAAATAGTCTTGTAATACCTCAAGGGAAGAGTGAATTTGTTTTAAGTCTGCTCCAACAAGAAGTAAAACAATGTCTTACGTAATTTTTTTTATTTTAACTTGTCGTGGTACATCAAAGGCTTCCACTATGCCAGAACAGGCATAATGAGGTAGGACACTAATAGGCAAAAAGGGGTAAAAATGTAATTCTCCTTTAGCTCAATGTCTCCAAGTGTTCTTTTGTCTTTGTGCATGTTCACTCCTTGTTGCAACAAGCTGATTGAGAACTATGTGCAGAGGTTTGTCTTGGTAAGCGCCTTCGTGTATGTTTTTAATTGTTGTCTACAAAGTGTGACAATGAAGCAATCTTGTGCTGATGGGTCCTGCGATGGTAACAGTCTTACCATCTGCAAAACTCAAGCAGAGCCAGGTTCCCACATTCATGGTGCAAGTGTCCTACTCACATAAATTGCTCTGACTCTCAGAAGAAACCTCTAAGAATTTAATCATATTTTTCTGGAAGTTCAAGGAGGCTCAAAACTGGATCAAGCAGTCCAGGCTTTTGAGCATTTCAGATGCTTTCTTCTAATAAATCTGCTGCCCTAGAAAAGCATTTTGTTTGCATCTTTTCATGTGACTGAAATTCTTAAAGTAAGACTCCATTATCTTCGGATCTTGCAACAAAAAATGCTTTTGAATTATTCTCTGAGCAACAATTTGGGACAATAGGTTGGAGGACTTAGCGTGACATCAGTTCTTCTAAAGGAGGGTTCAGATGACATGTTGAGAACATGGATAGTCACACAGATGGGCTGTTGTATTCTGTGCTCTCTGCCACGCCCCCACCTTGGCAGGCTCTCATTTAGCAAGTGGCTCAATGTCCTGTAGCTCATCCCAGGGTGTTCTTCACTGTTCCCTTAGCATAGAAAACTGCCATTCACTAGTATGGATGCAGTGTTATATGTCAGTGTCCTTCACTTCCTTAAAAACATAAAAATGTTGTTAAGAAGGGGCTTCTCCTGCTTTTCCAACACTAAAGAAAAAGGAGATGAGTCAAATGTTACAGACTGTTTTCTTCTGGAAACACTACTTTTTCCTGTACTGCTGGCAAAAAGGATATGTATTGTTTAATATGTGGAAGTGCAAGCATCTTTTATGAGCAGGGAAAGGTCAAGGTGTGTTTTTCCCAGGACTGAGCTGTAAGATCTATCACCTGGTGGCATACACAAAAGCAATACTCAAACTGAAAAGTTAGTGCAACTTAATTTTTTTCCCCTGCTGCACAGAAATTGCTATTTTATGCTGATAGTAAAAACTATTGCTATGTTATTTTCCCTTAGAAAAATGGCATTTTCATGTATTTAAGTATAGGAGAAAATCAGCACATCTTTTGAGGTTAATTACCACTATTATGAGGCTGCTCTACTACCATGCTGTACTCGCCAGTGTTGCTGGTGTTGCTGGTAAGCTGATCAAGTGCCAGTAACCTCTATGAGTTTTGCCTGGTAAGAACAGCTTTCAAAATTGCCCTCATGTCTTCATTGTTTTGTCTGAGGATTGTTGACCCAGTGCCATTGGTGCTGTGCTGTTGGTGGTGTTGCCATCTTTAGTGGAGGAGTTTGTAGTTGGGCAGAAAATGTAGGGGTAGGAGAATGTCTGGAAATCTAAAGAACTCTGCTCTCTAAGCTGTGGAAAACTATCCATGAAGCTTAATGGCAGGGGAAATGGAAAGTGTGAAAAGCAAGTTATGCTAGGGACTTGGAGGAATTTATGGCCTAATCACAGGTACCTGTGGATAATCTTTCACTCCCATGGCAGTGAATGCTGGGAGCACTGTGCCTTGCTCTTTGAGAACAGTGTTATTGTAAAGCATTTGAACAAAAAGATAGTGATAAGCAAGAGCCAGCAATAATTAATATTTTGTAATTACTATTAGAACTATCTAATTCCTATCCAAGGAATTCGGTCTGTCGAGACTACAGAGAGCTGCTTCTATAAAGTGTAATGGGCTTACCCTAGTATTTCAACTACATTGCTCAGAACAAGAATGTAAAAATGTCTAGCACCCTAAAAAAACCTAACTTGATATTTTTAAGGCAATACTGTTCCAGATTTTATAAGCTATGTTTGTAAATGCTAAATAAAAAAAATCTCAAGGAAATACCAACTGGACAGCAATGTATATTCTTCTAAATACACCTGATTCTTAAAACTGTCAAAAAATAACTCATAGGCAGAAATGAGATGGGAAATATGAACACAATACTTTAAATGTACAATTTAAAAAGTAAGCTTTAAAATGAATTCTTTAAAATTCTTTTAATCCCTATTTCTTCAGTAAATATAAATCCCCCTTCCATTTCCATATATTGGAATTTTAAGATGCATTTTTTTTTTAAATCAACACAGGCTGTGTTATGAGCAATCCACACTTTGTAGCTGCAACCATGTTTTTCTATAAAACAGGTCAAACTCCCTCAGGTTTAATGGCCTTGGTAACAGCAAAGACAAATCGAGTATTTTCTGTCTGAGGCACAAGTGGGAAAGTTGTGTTCTTATTTGGATTCTGTTCCAGATACAGCTCCAAAATTAAGTCTCTGACAGCTTTGACTTCTTGTTTAAATCATAGTCCAAAACACAATTTGTGGTTTTGAACAGTTAAAAGCTATGGGCTGAGGAAGAAAAATGTAGACAGTATCAAAATAGGCTAATTTTGTGTTTAAATGTCAAATTACCATAAGGACATATGTCCCTGTTAGGGTTTTTTTTTCATTCATATGTTAGTGGAACAAAAGCTATTTGTAACACTGATTTCTAAAATGTGTGAAATGCTTTCTCCAAAGGTAAACCTTAAAGGTCAAAATCATTTTTTTCCAAAAGTCTACTGAAATTATCCAGCGTATATTAATAGTTTGCTACATTGTTGTAGTTTGTCAATGACCATGAGAGAAATTAAGTTTTTAACACACACAAAATAAATTAAAAAAGAGTAAATAAGATTCTCTTTGGCCAAGAAGGGAACATGTGTTTTCTCTGTAGCAAATAAATTAATGTAACATTTTAAATTTCTGATAGTAGTATTCAGCATAGAATCATAGAATCATTTAGGTTAAAAAGACCTCCAAGATGATCAAATCCAACCTTTGATTGATCATCACCTTGTCAACTAGAGCATATAACAGCCATTTTCTTGGAACAAGAAAACAACTGTTTCTTGGAATGCCTCCAGGGATGGTGACTTCACATCCCTGGGCAGCCTATTCCTGAAGCTCCCCTGGTGTAGGATGAAGCTTGGTACATGTCTTGCACAATATAATCCTGTATTGTGTAATAGGATACCTAATCTTTTTGGTGATGTAAAGCATCAGTAACATTTGTTAAGGAAAGTTATTCAGGCTGCCTTTATAACTGACTTTTTCTCTCAAGTCCACTAAACATAATTTTTCTTTTAATTATTTCTATTATATGGCAGGAAGAATAGAAGCATCTACTGTTGTGACCCTTTGCTTTTTTATTGTTCCCCCTCCTCCTTCTCTCGGTGTCTCAACCTTTCCATAACTTTATCTGACTGGAAGTTGTAAACGCATTTCAGGGCTTTAGCATATCTATGAGGGCCCTCTCTTCCAAACAGCTACAGTCAGGAGAC